CTTTAAGCAAAAAAAAAATCAAGAAAGATTCGGAACAAACCAACAAAATTATTCATCCTGAAGCTATGCGGCCTCAGACAGTGAGTGTGAAAACGTTTAATTGGTTTTGATTAACGGAGATGAAGGCATATCATTATACAGGTCTAAGGAAAACCCTGGAAAGAATGTTATCTGAACAGATCCTCGAACATATGTTTCTTCTTTAGTTTGCCGAAGAGTTTTAACACAACAGTATGAGGTAACACAACGCGATTTTGTTCTCATTATCACAGCAGTTAGGTGGTTCGTGGATTCTGGCAACCTCACATTCTTCCATCTTTCTCCCCTCTCTCTCTCTCTCTCTCTCTCTCTCTCTCTCTCTCTCTCTCTCTCTCTCTCTCTCTCTCACACACACACACACACAGACACACACATGTACGTACATATTACACAGCACAGTATTATACACACGTCAACCCCCCTCCTCCCTTCTCTTCTTTTTCATCCTATCCCACTCTAAACCTACCATTTCTCTCTCACACACAAATAACAAACAAACAGACAAACAAACACATAAATAGACAAATACCACCTTTGTTTATCTGATATATTTCGCTGCCTGACCTTTCTCTCCTCTTTCACCCGAACCATCCCTACCAAGTCAAACCGCCCCCCCTCCCTCTTTCTCCGTCTCTCTCTCTCTTCCTTTCTCTCTCTCTCTCTCTCTCTCTCTCTCTCTCTCTCTCCAAACATAAACAGACAGACAAGCACACCATAAGACAAATAACACATTACAATAAAACACAACAAACAACAATAAACACACCAACACACAAACCAACCAACCAACCAAAACAAACCAAACAAACAAACACAAACAAGCAAACAAAGACACAAACAGACAAACAGACAGACAGACAAACACAATAGACCCACTTTTGTTTATCGGAGAGGATGCCCTGTGTGACCGTGTGGTACTTGCTGTCTCTCTCATGGGTAGGCGCCTGCTGCTTATATGCCTCCATCTTCCTCTTTTTCTCCTCCTCCGCCTTCTCGAACTTTCTCTTCACCAAATCCTCAGCCTCCGCCTCTCTCTGCTTCTTACGGGCCTCAAATTCCTCTGGAGAATAAGATATACATTTTTACTGTCCAGATCCTGGCACATTGGCAGAATGAATATCGAAAGATTTATTATTTATAAAGAAAAAAAGCTTTAGTAAGAGTATAAGGACACTGTTCAACACAAATATAGGCGTTAAAAATTAGGGGTGTTACTAGAGAGTTTTCGATTAAATAATACCTGGTGCTCCTTGCGGATGGGATGGGGTTGGGTCGGGTAGGGTCGACCGCCCGACTTGTCACCTGAAAACATACCTGTTTGCTCTTGAGGTGACGAGTCGGACAACCGGTTTGTGCCACGATAACCACTTTGCATGCTTAATGAGGCAAGCAATTCGACCCGACCCGATCTTGCCAATGGGCACCTGGTATAACAGTTTAACGGCTTTTGCAAAACAATAACGTCATATAAGTGCCTAAGATTAGAGGTGGTAGAAGAGAGTAACAAACACAAAACAGAAGGAAGAGGGAAAAGACGGTAGATGTGTTAAAGTAAGGAAGGAGCAAAGCAACCGCCAACCACCCACTAAATAGTAGAAGTTGAGCTTAGTTGTTTGCTCATGCAACAGTAAATATACATTTTTTGTTGTACAGGGGTGAATACAAGAATGCACATGTATTTGTGTGTGTATTTGCCCGTGTGTATGTCTGTGTGTGTGTGTGTGTGTGTGTGTGTGTGTGTGTGTGTGTGTGTGTGTGT